GGAAGGAAACTGAAAGAAACTGGTATGAACACCCACTAGACCCGGTTACAGAGATAGGACTTGTTACAATTCTATGGGACTACAAAATACACACTGAAAGAATAATCAAAGCCAACTGCCCAGACATTGTTATTAAAGACCACAAACAAAAAAAGTGCCTCCTTATTGATATGGCAGTCCCTGCAGACTGCAATGTATCTTTGAAGATAATAAAAAAGCTGTCAAAATACAAGGATCTTGAAATCGAAATCTCAAAAATGTGGCACATGGGAATATCAACAATCCCTGTTGTAGTTGGAGCCCTAGGATTGGTTGGAAAAGATTCCAGTAGACTAATTGAAGGGATTCCTGGAAGTCCATGCCTCACAGAGATACAAAAAGTTGTTCTCACAAGTACAGCCCACACTTTACAAAGGGCTTTAACCATATAAAATACATGTTTTTTTTTTAGTTTTTTTTTTTTTTCTGTCAGTGGAAAGTCTCACGATGCCATTTCTAACCTTAGGTCCCTGGGCGTGACCCGGAAAGAAATGTGTAAATGCCAGAAATCAAAGGAAATAAAAATAATAATAATAATAATATAGAAGAGATCAAAAGTATTTGGCTTTACAAAAAATATGGTGACTACCTTCATGAATTTCAACTTAATATCAAGAAGAAAATTAGAGAACTAGAAAGGATTATTATAAAAATAAATATACTTGAATGAAAATATGATGCTTAAATATATATATATATATATATATATATATATACACAAATGTAAAAGAATGAAGAATAAAACATTAATTTAAAACAGGCCTCAATACAAAAGTAGAGCAATAAATAATGTAGCATTGTGATTTCCCACCTGAAGAAACATTACTTTTTAACATTGAAACAGGATGTACAGTTTTGTAGTGGGTATGTACATGTTCTAATGTAACAGTGCATAATATATATATATATATATATATATATATATATATTCTGTTTATGTTATTTTTGCAGATACAATTATTTAAGTAAATACTCTGTTTATATATATATATATATATATAGGTATGTCTGATTGAATAAATTACAGACATTATGTCTGCTAATTTTTAACAAACTCCGTTCATACTCATGAATAACTTTTCATTTATTGATGTTAAAGGATGAGAGAAATGTTCTATAGCTGTTTAAATTTCTTTTATTTTCATTTCTCAAGTACTTTCAATCTTTTTCCAATTCATCTTCAGGGTGCAAGTAATACAAAACTATATGTTGTTCATTAATATAAGTATTTATACAAAGTTGTGTGTTTTTATACATTACTGTAATTTTTTCATTATGCTTTTAAATGCAAAATGGTTGGCAAGGTGTTGAGCATTCATTAGGACGTGAAAAATTATCCATTGTGGAATTTTTATACTTATGGGTATGTCCAGATTAACCATGGTTAATGGTTAATCTTGACATGCCCATAAGTATATTTTTAATTCTGACCTTATGCCCCCCAGTTTGACTTAAGAAAAGAGCTAAAGATTTGTTTTTAAATTTCCCTAATAAATCATTTTATCACAAGTTATCTGCCATCACCTGAAGAAGTACTAAGATTAGTACTGAAACATGAAAGTTTTTGTGTAGTGATTTAAAATGTTTTTATTGTAATTTATTATAATAAAAATATTATAATAGTTGTGTGTGTGTGTGTGTGTGTACAAAGTGCGATGAATAAATTACGCAAAAATAACACTAACATCTTAACATTTTAACAGATATATTTACCAAAATTACACAAAAATATCTTGAAATACTAAAGAGTAAATTTATTCAATAAAATCGCCATTGGCTTCAACCACGGCCTCCAGACAACTTCAGAATCTCCTATAATTCTTTGGAATGGTTTCCTTGTTTAAGTTGGTGAATGCTGCCATAATCCTTGGCTTCAGTTATCTTTGGTGTTACAAGGAATTTTGTTGGTCTCTCACTCAACTGCACACTACACAAAATAATAAAGGGAGTTTCACTCTGGAGAGTTAAGTAGCCAGAGGTAAGGGGTCAAAGAAATTGTCTGACAGCTATGACTAGGTTCTCTTGCTTGTGTCATATGATGCAGAGAACTGTTGCAAGACATAGGATCTTTTAGCAGCCACTCTCTTGCCTCCATGAACAAATTCAGCAGTTCTTTTCTTATCAGAACAATCAGAGTGAGTTTTCCGAGCTGTCATACCATCGTAATCACTATTAGACTCATCCAACTCTTTCTAAATCCTCTGCACTGTCCACAGATTGACATCCGAACACTCTGAAATATTTTTATTGGAGATTCTGGCACAAATGCCAAGCAGTACAAGATACTGTTTCCAAATTTCTGGCTGAGTGAATTGCGTCAAGATGCTCTTTTTTTCTCACAGATGGTGCCTGAGCGACCCTACTATATTGTGTAATTGACAAAGTTGATCATATATATATATATATATATATATATATATATATATATATATATATAATTTTTTATAAGTGGAGATTTGGAAAAAATTTATCCCAATTTGTTGTCATCCAAAAGCTTGTACATGTTGAAGAAACATTTGTCACACACATGCACATGCATGTACACACACATGACCAGGAACACATAAACAAACAAGTATGCACATATATGCACTCACATAAGCATACATACATACACAATCATGTATACATATATGCAGGATCAGTGCGCACTACCCCAAAACCCCCTGACTGGGAGGAACTTGATTGGGGATCCTGGGCAGTGCTTTGTGACACTTGCTATCTTATCAACATTTGCTTTTTTTTCTACCTACATTTATATACATTACAAATTAATCTAAGCACAACTGACTATTAACGGATGAAAATTCTGACATCATTATGCAGTCATTTCTTTTTTTGTCCTAATCCATAATATATTGAAGGCAAGAGGGACAGATAAAAACCGAACATAACTTACTTAACGAGCTTGTGCAAATGGCTGGCAGATCAAGGTTCACTAGAGATAGCAAAAAGACAAAATTTAATAAGACCCAGAAAGTACAGGAAATTGTGGAGAACCACGATTTCCTACATCCTGAAAAGGCACAACACCAAATGAAAATAAACAAGAATAGGAAAGTGGTGTTGCTTTGTTTTTTTCAAGTAAGGACCACTTCAAAATCAGCAATCAACATCATTTTACCAAGGCTTGAACATTGACCTGTGTTAGTGTTGGCAAATATACAAATCTTTCAATGATAAGGCAGCTCATATTAATAGTCAGTTTCATTGTTAAAGACTTTAACTATTTTTGACTTGATAAACAAGGACTTTGAATATTGTTATTGTAGAAACAAATAAATAGTTCACAAACTAGGTTTATACCATAAATAATTTTATAAATATATTCACAGATCATCAGCATTTAGTATCACTTTGTTGCAGTATTTACACATTTTGTTGTATATGTATTGAGAGATAAACACGTGTGTCTCCTAAAATGCCCGCAACCAACATGGCAGACTTGCGATGAGTCCGCCTAAATAATGTAAAAAACAAGGACCAATATACATGTGTACAAACATATGATAATATATTAACAACAAAGGGTTACAAGTGACAAAGACAATAATGCGTGTGTAACAAATGAATGTGTGTAACAAACTTCTTGGTCCAAAGTATGTAAAGTTAGCAAGTGTGCATACATGTGTGTGTATGTATTGTTCATGTGTTTCTCAAGAGGGAACGCATTCTTCATTAATTCTAATAAAAGCTAAACATATAAAAGTGAATTTATACATTTTCTTTGTTCTTGAGAATTGACAACAAAAATAATAAATATTATTTATTTATTAGATTGTTTATTTACACAATTTATTTACACTATATAATGTTCGAACATGACTTGACTTGACTCAAAGAGATGTGAGTTCACTACCTGGCAACAGAAGAGGGAACAAAAAACTTGGAGATTTGAGTTACTAAAAAGAATTAACTGAAACTGAGATATCCCAAAAAAATGGCATCTTCAACAGATATAGAAAATATCTCTGGCTCACAGTCTTAAAAACCCAGAACTTGCTGTTTCTCATCTGTGAAATATGTCTTTGCTAGCGACATAGCACAGGAATCCAGCCTGCTTGAATCTGAAATCCTAAATATAGCTTTTCATATAAAATACAAATTTTATTGTAACCTAATATTGAATTTTATATAGAGCTTTTTTTAAGATTGACCAAAACAAATTCATGGATTTGGATGAAAAAAATAGACACCAGAATGAGGTAAAAATCTGCAAACATTTTTCATCCTTTAATAGTCAGTTGTGCTTAGTTTAATTTGTAACATATATAAGTAAGCAATCCTTTTTCTGATTTAAATAAATGATCTACATAAGAATATACTCAGATTATTTGTAAACATCTATGTTGATGATACGACAATATATGGGCACATGTCAAAAACTCTTGATGGTCAGAGATTGGCAGCTGACCCCTTTTCTGTGATACCCCATTGCAATTAGATCTCTTTCTGATCCAATCTGCATGCTGGCCGAATGTGAACACCATGAAGACAGAGAACAAAATAAGAACATTGTTTTCTGTGCATAGGCTCCAAGCATCACATCCAGTCCATGAAGCAAGCTCCAACAATGAAAGTAACACTGACTAATCATAAACATTCCCACTGAAAATGAGATATCTCTGGGGACTGCCAGATCTGCTTAAAAGCAGGTCTCCCATAACAACCACAAGCAGTTGCAGACTGGCAGGCCACCTGCCAACATGCAGGACACTGCATTCCTCTCAACATGACCATTACAACTCCCAAGGCTTCAGGTGCCAATCGCTGTGATTGATAACATCTCAACATCAAAACCACCCAGCTACAAGCCTTCCTTGTAGCAAACACTGTCACCTCAGCAAATCTAACTCCGCAAGCAAGCAACACCAACTCTGCAAGCAGTGACTCCACAAGCAAGCTACTCCAACTCTGCAAGCATGCAACCCACTTGTCCTACCACTGTTTCATAGAAATACAGGCCTACCAGCAAGCAGTGACTGATTCTGCAAGCAAAATAGGTAGATAAAATAGGTAGATAAAATAGGTAGATAGATAGAAATGAACATGCTGAGATAGATAGATAGATAGATAGATAGATAGATAGATAGATAGATAGATAGATAGATAACAACACCAACAATGAGGACCTTAGTCTGAATGTAAATAATAACTCTTCATTTCAGACAGAAACTTATTTTAAATGAGCAGAATTTTTGTCAAGAAGAAACTTGAACAATAACAGTAATTAAAAATAAATGTAACTGTAATTAAAAATAAAAACTGAAATGGTTGGTTATTTTATAAGCTAGGATATTATGATGAATAAGTATGTCTAATTTTCTGAATTATATGATTGTTGGTGAATTTTTTGAGGTTATTTTATCTTGTGAGACTTTTTTACAAAAACTTATTTTACAGCACTGAAATTATATATGAGTAATAAAAATCAGATATTATAACTTTAAAATTTGTTTGGAGTCAATGACAGTGACATACAGAGATTTGGTGATGCTTAGGACCAACACCATAATTGTATACTGTTAAGACTTAAGTCTATAGGGCTTAGTACTGAGAAAAGAAGACATTTTAAATATGTAAAAACAAATGAAACATGAATTTTTTTTTTTAGCTAATGTTCACCCAATACAAGAGCCACTCAAGGTAGAGGGTTACTGTGTGGTGTGGTATAAGCATAGGAAATGGCAAGAAGTGAAGTTCTTGTGGCTATGCAAGAAAGATAATGGCTAACCCTAAACTTGAAGAGGTCAAGATTTCATTAGCGAATAACATTTCAGAGTTCAGTAAGAGATTTTACAAAGTACAAAGTGGAAGTAGACTTTAGAAGGAACTGGAAACCCAATCCTATACAGGAAATGAGGGATAAACCTTTACTCCTGTTCAAAAGACCAGGGAGAGGAAAAAAACAGAAATAAACTGTTCTGCTTCATAATAATACACTTCTCTCAAAAGAATGTGTACTGAAATAAAAACATCCTAGACACTGTAACATTTATTCAAGACTAACATTTTTAAAGTAGTAAAAATAAAAAATTTTTATAATAAAGTGAAGAAAAGAATCCTAAGAAAATTGTCTGTTGTTCATCCAGTGTGTGATGCAACATAAGGACCTGAAGAATTGCCAATTGACCACAAGAAGCCAGAGATTAAAATGCTTGTCTTTTTTTTTTTTTTTTTTGTTAAATGTTAACACATTGCAGCATTTTAGCTTATATTCTTCTATACTTTTACTAAAAGTGTTATCCTTTATGTTCATTTAAAAAAAAAATTTTTTGCCAATGTTCACCCAATACAAGGCCCCAGAGCCACTCCAGGTAGAGGGTTACTGTGTGGTATTCTATAAGCATAAGAAAAGGCAAGAAGCAAAGTTCTTGGAGCTATACAGGAAAGATAACAGCAAACTCTAGACTTGAAGAGATCAAGATTTCATTAGTGAATAACATTTCAGAGTTCAGTCAGAGGGGAAGTAGACTTTAGAAGGAACTGAAACCCCAATCCTATACAGGAAACAAAGGATAAACCTCTAATCCTGTTCAAAATACCAGGGAGGAGTATGAACAGAACAATAGGCGAGCATATCTACTCACACATTTTATTCAAATTAAATATAAACTAAATTTTTATTTCACTCTTTGATTGGATGCCCTCCCTAATTGGATGCTCAGGGCCGTTGTACACCTTGCTTCCCCTTCTGCATGCTACAAGTCTACATTTAAAAAATCTTATGTTGAGTATAAATATCATGTCTCTGTTAGTAATTCAATAAATTTATCTGACCCAATAAATTATTAACAGGTATCGTACTTACCTGTTATTGAACCTATTGCTATTGCTGCTGTAAGTGAATTCTAGCAGTGCCTAGTTTGATGTCCAAGAGACAACTGTATAGAGTTAAATAGAGACAACTGCCTTACTGTTTATCTTACTTATTATAAAACGCAGATTGTGTGTGTGTCTGTACGTTTATATATTGGATCGGATTTCCTACATTTTTCAACCGATTTCAACAAAACTTCACTTTTTTTTTTGGCAGGTAGTGATTCTTATTGTCTTGCACACTTTTTTTTATTTTTTACATTCAGAATGCTTTAAAAAATTCCATTTACAAGACAATTGTTTATAATAAAATTCTATTCAATCGATAGACTCATAACAATTGAAAACAATGTTTTGTTTGAGTTTGGGTTTTGACCAATTCTTAAAAAAAAAAAAAAAAAACTAATTAAGACATGCGTGTCCGTCAACCTTAAACAATAATCTTTGTCAATTTTATTTTTCACTCTTTATGATGGTGGATACTTGATCTATCTCTTACTGTTACATCCCCAGGCAACGCCGGGCTCTACTGCTAGTCGATAATACAGCAGGGTTAGGAGTTGATCTGTACCTTTCTAAAAACTCTTTGTGCAAAGTGAATAGTAACAGTAATATTAGATGTTTTCTTATAAGGAAACAGTTAGCATTCAATGACTGAACAGCTGGTGGTGCTTTTAGTCGTAATTTATAAAATCTTTTACTTAAAACATTTTTTCAAGAAAATAGTTTTCTCAAATCCAGTAGCTGTTATTGATCTTTCCAGCACTGATGGGGGTTTCCTTCCTAACATTTTATTTGGCATAATGTGTAATATTAACATCTCGATTTTGTCATTGTTTTCTCTTCAAGTTACATGTGCTGTCCATTTTAGTTGTTGCTGCTGTTGAAAATCCTTAAGTGATGTGGTTTCTGTTATTTCTAAGGATGGTTTTGTCGTGATCCACAGGCTTTGCTTGCTCAAAGCCATTTTTAACCATTGATATTAGAAAGCAGTTGTTTACAGCAGATAGTTAGATATTTCTGAACTCGTTTGGCATTATGCATGACATCCTTAGGAAATAAGCCATGTTAGTTTGCAATCTGTCACAAGCGGAAACAGCAGCTGATGATGATAATGATAACTGGATGGAAAAAAATGTTTTAAATTTGATTACAGGCTTCTCCAGAATTATGATGTTTGTCTGTCAGGAACTGGGAAATTGATTCCATTAAGTGTTTGCTGATGACAGACATTTTTGTCAATTTGGGTCAGGTCATTGTCTAGTGTATGAGAATTTAAATAAACAAATATATTTAACAAATTCTGACTGAAAGCTCTTTTTTTTACTTTTTTGTTATCATTTATGAGCTGTGTCACTTCAGGATGTAAGCAATCATGGTTCTCCACAACTTCCTGTCACTTGTAGCTCTAAGTAATGTTTGCATCTTTATCATACTTTTTTGTCCCTGTGCTGCCATCCATTATCCCATTATATAAGTTACTTACTGTTTGTTTTGCCCTGTAGGCGATTATCTCCCTTTGATGGAGATAAGTCACATGCGTCACATGAAGACCACTCAGTCTACTGATGAGAGGATTCCAACGGTCCTTCTGTATGGTGAACTGACTACTGGCCACAGGGCTGATGGGCAAACTAATCTTTGCTTAAAGGACATCTTCAAAAGTGACATGAAGGCTACGGACATGCACATCGAGATGAGAAGACCTTGGCAATGATCACTCACACTGGAGACACAATTTACACCGAGGGCTGGAGCAAGAAGAGAAGAAACAACATAGTGACACTGAGGAAGAGCATCTTCACATGGTTGCAATTAAGAATGTCACTCCTGTTTGAGCCTGTACAGCCATAACAGATGCTGCACTACCATCAGCTGCCAAGGCTTAACTTTTGGGGTGCAGAACCATGGTCTCTCAAGGCCAATAAATGCCACATTTATGTGGGGATTATCTCATGGCAACATCAATTCCAACCATATATCACTATATTTGGTTTAGGTTTGGTTTGGTTTGGTTTATGACATATCAACCTCAATGGGTTATTATATGCTAACAAGATTTTTATTGCTGGTAATATTTTTTCCCAAAAATGTATTGCTGGTAATATTTATTTTTTTCAAAAATTTATTGCTGGTAATATTTTTTTTAAAAAAAGTTATAACCTCAATGGGCTATTTAATGCTGACAAGATTTTTATTGCTGGTAATATTTTTTTCAAAAATGTATTGCTGCTAATATTTTTTTTTTCCAAAAAAGTATTTCTGGTAATTTTTTTTTTTTTTTTCAAAAATGCATTGCTGGTAAAAAAATTTTTCAAAAATATATTGCTGGTAATATTTTTTCAAAAAATTATTGCTGGTAATAATTTTTTACAAAAATGTATTGCTGGTACTAAAACACATTTTTCACTTTCATAGTGATTTGACCCCAGTTTGGGGCTAATGCTTTGCCCATAGCTGGGACCTATACAGGTGCTACACCCCAGGACAGGGTGGACCTTGGAACACTAGCAATTAAGAGGTGATTCCACGCTCCTTAAAACCTCCTGATCAGAGGCCTTGTTGTTGATTGTAGTTTATTGTCTTACCCAGGACACAGAAATAGTTTACTGTCATACCCAGGACAGTTTGGTTTAGATGTATATTGGCCTTGTGTAAGGACTAAAAGATAATGCACAGAGTGTTAATAAATAGAAAACAAATCTTTATATATCATAATATACAGAATTTATATAACACAATATACAATAATACAGAAGGATAAGGTGAAATTTGAAGTTTCAAAAGTTCAAGTGTAAAAGTCCTGGCACATAAAAGAAATAGAGAGAGAGAGAGAAAGAAAAAGAGTTTGGTAGGAAGTAAATATATATGTATTCTGCTTCTTGACAATGTGGGCAAAGGAAGGTACATCTGTTTTCAAATATATCAGCAGGCTTCTTTAAAAGGTGGAGAAAGAAAGGGTGTATGTTTTTAGATATATCAAGATGGTTTAGCCATCTAAAGTCACTAGCTAGTCATAAAAATATTGTATTTTATCTCTGGCTATGTTACTATGACTGTATTACTGGAGAAAGGACAATATTTATTAATTCTGGTTTTTATTGATTTTTTTTGGTTATATACACATCAATAGATCTGCTTCAAAAAGGCTTCTTATTGGATTGTGGCCTTTTTTTTAATCATATTACCCTATAGAAGGCAGTGAAGCCACTAAGATATAAGGGGTTACTGAGTGTGAAAGAATAAGAAAAAAAGAGAAACATTATTATGGAACAAGAACAATAAAATAATAATCAATGAGTCACACTCATGGAGATTA